AGATCCCTTCCCTCTCTTCCCTCCCGCTCTGTCTCTCTCCTCGCCACTTCTCCATCCCATCCCCCCCGAATCAAAGATCCCTCCGTGCTGAGAACAATACCGAACACATCCCGTTACCGGAGGTGCCGCTCCTCGAGAAGCCCCCCCACCCAACACGCGTCTCCGAGCTTGGTATCAGAGGCGGCCGCAACGAGCTTGTCAAGAGGCACCGGGTTTGGCAGAAATCCCGTGCCGATCCATGCCGACGCGCGCAGTTTTGAATCTGGGGCACGGTGCCACCACGATTCGAGCGCTGCACAACCCAATATCCGTTGCAGCAGCTGGAGGCTTGGGAGGGGGGAGGGGCAAACTGGGGGAAGAGAGGGAGGGGGTACGGTCGATGATCCTCAGAACGCGTGTTAGCACAAGCGTGCGCTTGTACATCGAATCCCTTCGATACGGCGCAGGCGGTGTAGTGATGTGTCGGTGGAGCTGAACGGGGTACATGCTGCACATTAAGGCTAACACGCGTCCTGAGGATCATCGATCAGGATGGGGTAGAAGAACATCAGGAAGGATATGAAAAGGGACGGGGAAGGACCGAAGATATGGGAGGGGATGGGGAGAAGCCGTCTGGAAACGTGACGTCGCGAACACGCCAGAAAGATAGTATGGGAATCAAGGGGTGCGTGCCATACTGATGGCACCATGCTGGCTGACGACAGGGAAGGGCATGGCAAGGGAGCGGAAGGGGGGTTGCATTCAGGAGCGAGAGGGGGCAGCAAAGGAGGTGATGGAGATTAGGAAAGGACATGTTAAGGATGGTAAGAGAAGGACAACATGCAACGGAGGAAGGAGGAGGGGCACGCAAGGGTGTGAGAGAGAGAGAGAGAGAGAGAGATAGGGAGAGAGGGAGAGAAAGAGAGATAGAGAGAGAGAGAGAACGAGATAGAGAGAGAGAGAGAGAGAGAGAGACCGAGCGTACTTCGCGCAACGAGTCTGTGTTCGATCACGCGCACGAGCGCGTGCTCACAGAAATCCTGCCGCGAGGAGCATCGGGGACAGGACGAAGAAGCTCAGAGGCAGGACGAAGGAGCACAGAAGCATGACGAGGGAGATCAGCAGCAGAAGCGCCCACAAGTACAGCGGCATGGCGGGGATCGTCAACGGCAGGACCGCCATCGAGCTCTACTGCCGCAAGGTGAAGATCAGCTGCAGGTTCACCGCGATGTACTCGGGCGGCAGGGCGGGCAAGCTGGTAAGCGCGCAAACCAGCCTCAGCAACGGAAAGGGCGACATCCGGCGACACAGAATCCAGCGACTGGATGCCGTGGTAGGGAGGTGCGTCGCCACGAACAGCTCTTGGACGACGTCGGTGTCGAAGCGACTAGATGCCAACGCGAACGGCGGGGTCGTCAGGGAGCGTCCGCCCGATGTAGGAGATGGCCCAAACCATGCGGCTGCATGACATGTAACGCTTGACGTCGTCGTTGCATGGATCCACTGCTTCACAGGCATGAACATCAGGACGACCACATGGTTCACCTCCAACTCGAGCACGACAGTCAGGACGGCTGCCAAACACACACAGGAGTTGTCTAGCAGGATGGACGATGCGCCAGGAAGTGAGCCACCCTCCTGCCCAAGAGCGAATGACCGCCATCGCCCAAGAGCGTGGCGTACGGCGAAGCAGCTGGCGACGAACCTCCCAATCAATCTGCGCGATGGTATCTCCGAGGTGAGGCCACCACGAGGAAAAGCGTACAGTAAAGAGCTCATGCGCACGGTCGCCGCCAGAAGCACGCAGAACAGCATCGTAGGCAGCATGCTGAGGCCGATGACATACTCCAGGAGGGAGCGCGGGAGGAGAGAGACACGCAGACGCTGCAGAAGAGCAACATGTACCACAACAGTAACGACCATGGGCGGCGCCAGCAGCAGCACCGGCCAGCACTTCCACGACAGCCGAGGTCCGCCAGAATGGCGGGTAGGGAGGACCAGCACGAAGCATGGCGAGGGTGCGGTCATCTCCGAGAGACTCCGGTGTATCCTGGAAACGTCGTGCAATTCGTGCGTGCTCCGTGAAGGTGACGGTTGCAGCACGAGCAATGGTGGAAGCCATGAGCCCAACCCAGGAGGCGATACGAGGACCTCCCCAGTGCTGGGGCTGAGGCCAATCTCGAACACTGAGCGCGCCGTTCGGGAAACGAAAGACAGATGCGACGTGCCACGTTTCCTCCTTCAAGAACTCGGCGGGGGCGCGGGCGAACTGCGCTACGTAGCTCAAGACTGGTGCAGCACGCGTGTTGTATAGGATGGCGGACATTGATGCTGGGGTCGCGCCATTGCCGGCAGCCCGAGCCTTTGTGCGGAGCTTGGCGAATGGTCCCGCCCATGAATCCAGAAGGGAAGCACCGGGACCAAATTGTAAATCTAGATACGTACGCTGCGCGACGATCTGGGAAGCGCTCCAAGCAGGAAGAATAGTATGTATGGCTTCGGCAAGGGCGCGGGCGACCTGGTCAGAGAACGTGGCGTACAGTGGGACGACGTTGCACTTGGGCACCTTGAGCACTAATGTGGCAAACCTCATGGCGCTGTTCATGACGCGGTGAGGGCTCCGAAGCGCACGAAGTTCAGCAAGAGCAGCTCCGATGCCGTCAGCGCGCGCCCTGACGATGCCGAGGTTCTAGCGATCGACGTTGTGCTACAGGTCGTGCAAGAAACCGGGTGGTTGCAACAACGAGCAGCGATCCAGAGCGAGCACAGCCTTGCTTAATACCGCTCCTGATCATGAAAACGTGCCGGAGCCCGCGCGGGGAGACCACAGCCTCCACCGAAGAGTACACGGCCATGATGGACGACATCACCGGAGACGGGCACCCCATGCTGCGCAACACGGCGACAAGGAACGGCTGGCAGAGTGATGGAAGAGCTTGGCCGAAGTCAAGGCTCACCAGGACAGGCATCCGTGTAGATGCCGACGAATGAGCAGAGTACTTGCGTGCCTTGGGATCCAGCTCGCAGATGTCGAGGACGAAATTCCGCCCACGGATGAAGCCACGTTGATTGAGGGGCACCACCTGGGCGAAGACAGGGTCCAATGCAGCGTTGAGCGTGGCAGTGAGGATCTTGACGTCGGTGTTCTGCAAGCCGAGAACGCGCACCTTGGAGGCTTCACGGGTGCAGGAGCCGTCCGGGCCGTCGTCGGAAGGCACGCCCTTCGGGAGGAACGACTGGAGAGTGATACTGGCCGAGGCAAGTAGAGATTGCCCGCTCAGGAGCCACACCATGACGTCGTGCAGCAAGGTCAGGCCTTCACGATGGGAAATCCAGGCTGCGTACGGCAAACAATCCACGGCAGGCGCGGAGTGGGCAGCTTTCGACATCACACGAGTCAGTAGGGAGAGCGTGGGCGGCCTGACGTCGGTGAAGTCAGCAGTGGGGCCAAAACGCTGGAGGTAGAGAAAGAGAGAAAGACAGAGAGAGAGAGAGAGAAAGAGAGAGAGAGAGAGAGACGGAGAGCGCGAAATCGACAGATTGAGCACATGTGAGCGCGAGCAGAAACTCCATCTCTCTCTACACACATATATATTTATAGATGTATATATATATATATATATAGAACAAGTCCTGTCTGCCAATCGTTTGCGATGAAGAGGCACTTGCCGCCATAGCACGGCATGCCTCCCAAGCCGATCGAGCAGGGCACCTCGAGGGCGGCCATCGAGAACAACGCGAATCTGAAGAGGTTGTCTCCATACTCGCCTGTATCAACCCGGGGAACCGCGCGACGCATGCCAGGCACAGCGCGCACACGCGCACAGGGCACCAGCTCCCAAATCGCCACACCGGTCAGCTACACACTTGTGCGACTCACACTCGTCGCAATGTGCTTTGCGCATTCTGTGGGCAGCACTCGCTGCAGACATCACTATCGTGCAGTGTAGAGCGCTCTCGACAGATGGGCGATCGAATGAAACGCCATCAAACGAATTACGCCCGCAGCACATACTGGCAGAAAACGTAAGTCCGCCATCCGCATCTCTGGCCAGCCTGCAGAAGCCACAATTTAACACACTTAGAACCTCGCGGCAGAACGCCCTGAACAACATACTTAATGCATGAGCAGCGCAATCTGCTGTGCTGCACACAGAGAGGCCATACGGGAGGCCGCATGGGAGACCAAGCGGGAGACCAAGCGGGAGGCTATACGGGAGACCAAGGCGCCCGACCGATTCCAGATCGGGCGGTCCCCGTGCTCGGACTCCTTACAGGCGAGCTGTCCGGGGGGATATCAACCCTCTTGTCGCGCACGGGCGCAGGCGCGGTCGCCCTGGGGGGACATGTGTGACCTCGACGGCCAAAATACTGCCGCGCATGCCCAGCACACGGACTACGCGCGCTCTAGCATCGCAAACGCCCATCGGCAAGCACAAGAGCACACGAGACCACACATACAGGGCAACATAGACATACATGGTGTATGCATGCATCGACAACCGATGAGAGTTTGCACACTTTCTCGCGTGTAAACGAATCGACAC